ATCTATATCATTCATTCATTTTAGATTTCATGCTGTCATATTTGTGTCAGGGAAAACAATACATAGCTGTAAATAAGCACTATTGCTTGCAGTACTTATCTCTGTCCATGATTTGCACAAGATAATGCTCAGTGTGATAAGGAGGATCATTGATACAGTTTACAGATGAAGAAGCAGAGTTGTGTTGCAGCTGACGAGCTTGCACCTCAGCTAGCATTGCAAGTGGCTTTCCCTGCTGAGGGTGGGATTATATCAGAACATGGAAAATGCCAGGCACTTCTGCAGCCCTTTTTGGCTATGGTTTTGTTAATTAAAACAAACCATTCTCCCAGATCATTGCTTTCAGCCTGCACCAAGTGCAGAAGGACTCTTCTCCCTGTTGGTGGCTGTGATAACAGTGATAGCAGTGATATTCAGTGCCCTCTCTTCTCTCAGTCACTGCTGTCCCGGAGGAAGGGGGGTGCAGCTGCCTGTCACAAGTGCCATTCTGAGGGCAGGAGGGGATTTCAAAAGGACAGCAGGTGGACAAGATTAGGAGGGCAACAGCAGCAGATTATAAATGTTCCTGCAGTTCAGCTGGAATTGATATTTTCTGTCTTTGTTCCTTATCCTATTCCTGTAATCTTAAAAAAAACTGCAAACACAGGAGAGATCTTTTTTTTACTTCTCCACTCCCTAAAAGAGGCCCTTTCAATATTTTTCTTCTGCACATAGACTGAGGAATTTGCAGGGTGAGTGTGAGCCCATGCCAGATATCAGAGTTAACACACAAGATGAATAGATGAGACCACATGAAAGGGACACAGTGTGGTTAAGGCAAAGAAGAAGGGTGTCTCAGAATAGGTGTGCATTGACAAGAGCTACATCCCTCTGGAGCCTCTGAAGCACAGCAGTGTGTGACTTGGCAGAAGCTGAAGTGCTTCTTTTATTTTGCTCTTTTGAGTTGGAGGAAAACAAATGTTCGCAGAATAAACACAGATATAGGCTCTCCAAGGCAAAAGACAAAAGAAAGAAAAAAAAGAAAAAAAAAAGAGTGCTTCTTAGGAAACACTTTGTCTGCTAACACAAGAAGTTTCATGAGTAGCCATCCAGTCTGGTATCCTAGTAATGAGTGACTAGTTCATTAGTATTTATTCTTGTGTAGCTTATTTCTTTTCTGCTTCTGGTTTTTGGAGTTGTTTTCTCTTTTGTTCTTGTACTCACATATTTTTGTGTGATTATCATGGCTGGTTTCATATGCCTACTGCCTACATGAGTTTTTACTCTCTTGCAATCAAACCTTGTTGTGAGGCCTTGTCTTGTTTACCCAAGGGTTTCCAACACCCAGCTACCGTGGAAACATAATCTGCACTGATGCACCAGGCAAGGGTTCGAGACAGATGTGATGTAGTCATATCATGGTCATTGGAGAGCCACCAGTGGACTTGTACCACAGCTCTGCAAGACAGACAATGTAAAAGGAGTTGGAGTTTCATTTCTCATTGGTATGAGAGGTATCACACAGCATCAGACAGTTTGATTGGGCCACAAAAACTATTTTGTAATTCATATTTCCTGCTGTAAAACATGCTTCTCAGTCTGTAGGGACCATTCAATCTTCTAAGATGTGCTATTTCTCTGGTTCCCTCAAGCTTTCCTGTCTAATGGTTAGCCATTCAACCCTCAGCCTGACGGGCATTTCATCTTCACCCAGCTCTCTGTGGCCTGGCCCTCAGGACAGACCTTGGCCATGTTCCATGGGAATGTTCCTTCTGCTGCAACTGAAGAGCTCATTTAGCTTCTTGCAGTGGCCATTGCGTTTGAAGGACTGCCAGGGCTGGAGGTAATATCCCAAGGTACTCTCTGTCCAGGCAACAGTGCTCTTCGGCCACCCAAGGACATAAAGCCTGCACTTTTTTCCAAGTATGCTGTGCTCTCCTGGTGCCATAGTGGCATATGTGGATATGACTGTGGCATATCCACAATGGTTCAAGCCACTGAATGCAACAGATCTGCTTTGTATGTCATTGTAATTTAGTTTTGACCAAGTTCGTAAAATGTTAAGATGCGCCTACAAATTACCAGTGCTGTACTTTCGACTGCTCTCAGTTCTGGTTCTGAGCAGAAAAACATCAATGTTTTGCTGTATGCTTAAGGCTTTCCAGCATATGGCAGCAGGAAGCTTTTGGATGTCACTGTTTTATTAAATGTGGTATTTTTAGATCTTCATTCTTGGTGAAGTCAATTCACAACAGATTCCTGGGAGGGGAAGAATTTAATCTCACTTCCAGCTTACTTCAACAAATATTCTAAGTAAGAGGGGAAAAAAAATATTTCAATCCTTGTTTTCCTTCCAGTAAAAAGAATTCCATGTTTAACAGCTAAAGTTTCCTAAATCTGAAGTATTAAGAGCCTGACATTTATGTTTCCCTTTGCAGTGAGAGATGCTTCTTAGTATTTTCCAGGGTACCAACAGTTAAATAAAAATTAGCAAATCTGAGGCATTTTTGTGTCACCATTTACAAGCACTTAATAAGGTGCCAGAGCCATTAGCATAGGGGAATGTTTTGCTAGGAGCAGAAGGGTGACAACTTGCACAATAGTGATTTCCTTCCAGAGCTGAGTGGAAAGGAAACCTTTGTTTTGACCATTTTTCAGTGTAGCTTGAGCTGCACAGAGCAATTACTTGGTTGCTCAACCACAGTCCACTTTTTCTTGAGTGCAGCCTCAGCAAGTATGTTATCAGACCTGTCTGAGATACTGAGGAGCCCAGAGAGACAAGTGTTCAGTGCAGTGAGCTGCATGTGGATTTTTGTGGATGACTTTGGGGGTTTCTCAGGAGCAAATTCCTATCTGCTTCACCATAGAGCTTCTTGTTGCTGTTTCTAACGTATCAAAAATTATGCCAACAGAATGTTCTGTTGTTCCTCAGCAATAGATTTTTTAAAAAATAAAATAAAATTGACAATTGGAAGCTTTCAATTGCAGCTTTGAACAATGCTATGAGAGCTTTCCTGCTAGCTCCATTGTTTCCACATTGGACTTTTCTGCTACAGGCCTGGTAAGGATGCTGTCATTGTCTTTTGTCCTTCCCTGTAGATCCCATGACTTGCAGTGTTCCCATCTCTGATGTTGTTCTCCCAAGGCAGCCTATAGTGAAGAAAATACATGCTTAAGCTAGGACAAAGTCCACTGCTGCCTTACTAGCTAGGAGGCTGAGCACAACATGCACAGTTTCAATAGTGAGTGAATTAGAATTAGTGGTTGAATTAGAATTATTGACTTGGTTTCTGTAAAAACCAGGTCAGCAGAGCTTTTCTCTGCGGGGGGCAGATTCTATCAGCATGGACAATACTACAGATAAAGAGACGCCGTTTTCTACTTTTACAGCAGCAGGTACAAAGAAGGGACAAAAACCTGTAGCCTTCTGCAGGGGTTTCAAATACTCTTTACTAGGACTGCTGGAATCCAAAAGAGCTCCAGACAAAAAAGCTATGAAGTGGGTTCATGTGTTTGATACCACCTCACCGTGGGAGAGTTTCATCCCCATGCTGTCAAATTGCTGCCAGAGACCCTGACAAAGTCATTTGGTGAAAGGGCTTGATGGCTACTGGCAGCTGGTAATTCACCCCTCAGCTTCTTTCCATTGGCAAGCTTTGTTGGTCAGCAAAGCGACAGGCATTGAGTGGCACCATTAGCTGCAAGCAAATTCAGTTTAGGGATGCTTTTTGGTGTGTAAAAAGCCTGTGTGTGTGGTAACCAGTGCCTGTCACCTGGCTTATATTGCAGGCTTGCAGACCCCTTCGGAAAAATCTTCTATTTGATCTAGGTGGGTTTGCTGTCCAAACAGAAAGGTGTTTGCACAGCTAACAGTTGGCACTGCCCAAGCTGGAAATTGCTGGCACCTTCTTGGCAGGCATGGCAAAAAGTCTGCATGCTGTGGGAACTGACTTAGCTGCTAGTCCTGCAAGACACCATCACTGAATTGAAAAAGGGAGCAGTATACAAACAAATAAATACCACAGTGACAGGAGAACCAGTTTGAAAACATCACTCACTGCTGGGAAGCCCTTATTGCTGCTGCCTGTGCTAATTCTGCTCAGTGATGATAAGACATTGGTTTCCACCTCAGTAAAGCAGCCTGGAAAATCTCAGGAGCCCTGTCTTTGTTCTGACATGATTGGTGTGTAAGGGTTTCCCCAGCAGTGCTTATATTTAAAGCCTCTCTAACCCTGCAATCTTCCTTTAATTCAGTATTCCCAATAAAGTACAAGGCATTTGATTTAATTTCTGCATTGAGCTCTGAATTTTGTTCTGGGCTTTGTTCTCCTCAGAGCTTTGGAAAACAGAGAAAGAAGGGGGAAGCATTTTAATCAGTGTAAGACTTTGGCTTTGACACTATTGAAGCCTGATGAGCCTCTGAATTTCAACTGAATAGAGCCCTAAGAAAAGATGTAGATCCGTTGAAGGACAGCATTTGAGTGGAAGAAGGATGTGTGTTTAGGACTTTCCATTACATAATGGAGCTGAAATGGGTTAACAAGACCCAGGCTTTCTTTTTCTTGAGAATTGCTGCCTGCACCACTCTTTTTCTATTACTGATGCTTCAGTCACAGCACTCACAGAAAGGTTTTCTTTGTTATTATTAGTTTGAGAAGTAAATTGCAGTATTGTTTCTTCTGATCAAGAGATTGATTAGTCAGAGTTCTCTAACTTTTCTGAAGGGAAAAAATGTTCCTCATTATCAACTTTAAATGTAAATGTATTTGCCAAGCAGAGTTTCAGATGGTGGGGGGCTGGGGCTGGGGCTTGGGGGTGTGTCTTGCTCTTTTGATGTGCTGCCCATAACCATTTACAGATCTTTGAAAGGCATCCCTCTCATCGGTTCAATGAAAAGAAATTGTGGGAACAATGCTCTTGAAAGAGCAAATTAACCATTGCTGCTTCGTGGTGTTTTGACGAGTAATGGTGCATTAGTATGTTTGTAGACTTCGTGTTTTGTCCATTCTTTCTCTTTCTAGGTGCTTTCATAATCTGCTGGACCCCAGGATTAGTCTTGCTGCTCCTCGATGTTTGCTGTCCCCAGTGCAATGTCCTGGCCTATGAAAAATTCTTCCTTCTCCTGGCAGAGTTCAACTCTGCCATGAACCCCATCATCTACTCCTACCGGGACAAGGAAATGAGTGCGACGTTCAAGCAGATCCTCTGCTGCCAGCGCAGTGAGAGCACCAACGGCCCCGCCGAAGGCTCGGATCGCTCAGCATCCTCCCTCAACCACACCATCTTGGCTGGCGTCCACAGCAATGACCACTCCGTGGTGTGAGACCACAGCCAGCCCTGTGCCCGACAAAGAGCAGCAGGCAGCGCTGTGGGACGGGGCAGGTGCATGGCCCTAGGGAAGGTAACCCACTCACGTTTTCTCAAACACTAATGGACTACAAGTGCATCTTTTCCAGGGGGCCTGACATACCAGTGCAGACTGCCCTGTCCTCAGGACTGGCCATGCTGCAAAGCCTTTGATTTCTACTTTGAAAAAGGGGAACATCGTTGCTTTGCAGAGGAGGTCATCAGTAGCCCATGGAAAGCCTTGCTGAGACTTTGTTGGACTTTGCTGCATCTTGGTGCCAGTCTGAATCAACTCTGATTAATTAAGCTTATACCTGCTTCACTGCATTTACATGTAGCCACTTAGTATTTTTAAACAGGGAGTAAAGGGGATAAAAATATGCCTATCATTTAATAGACATGTAATATGTATCACCATCAGCATGCTTGTGATGAACATTTTCTGTGCAGGGAGTAAAACTGTGCTCTAGTCTTTGTATCCTTAGCCACACTGTCATAACTACAGTAAAAAGAAAAGTATTTTTTTTAACACAGGCAACAGAAAGATGAGGGAAACTGACTCTTCTTACCTTCATTATTGGCATTAGAGAATGCATGTTCTGTGTGTATGCAGATTGTTTTAATCATGAAAAAAAAAAAAAGTTCCTTGTAAAGTCTGCCAGAAAGTAGAAAAACATAGACTGTATTCCAGTGTTTGTTTAGATTATGAAATAAACAGTACTTTAGTCACAATGTATATAAGGTTCTTCTTTGAAGTGCAGTATGAAATTTGTAACATGTGAGGGGAACCAAGTTTTTTATGGATAAGTTCTTAAAGTAAGATACGTCCCTAAGGCTCTTAAAGGGCTACAGTCAGATTGGTGGTGTGCAAAAATTTTATTTATGGCATATTCTTGGAATGCTTTTCTTGTTCATGTCAAAAAGCATACACATTTTTAATGGGGAAAAAAAAAGGTATGTTTTTATGGATTCTTTCTTGTAATTGAAAGCAAAACACCTGTATTTTTGCACTGAGAAGTATTTCTAGGGTACCATTCAAATGATGGTTTCAAAAGCAGTTTCAAAAGCAGTGAACTAAGAACCAAGACACAATTCTATTTTGTAAAGTCAACACTTTACAAGGTATTCATCCATTGCAAATGGCTGGACCTTATTCAGATAGTAGCCACACATGTACACTGTTATAAATACCTAAGCTAACAGGTGTTTATTTTCATATGAGACTGTTTTGAAGAGAAATGTCACTCATGTGAATATCAATTGTCAAGAATCACTGATACTAAACAAAACTCATTAACAGGGGTAAATATGAGCAAAGGTGGGATCTTGCTGATAAAAACTTGGGACATCTCTCCAGGAAACTGTGTGTTCTCCTAACAATGTAAAATATATATCAACAGTAAATTCCTGATGCTGTTTTCATCATTGTAATTTGTCTCTATAGCAAAAAAAACCAAAAACAAAAACAAAAACAAAAACAAAGAAAAAAAACCCAAAAAGACAAGAAAAAAAAAAAACACACACACACAAAATATAACCCCCTCAAAACAAGACAAAAAAAACCAGTGATATATAATATATCCTTCATTGTACCATCCTGGAATGTAACTTAAGGGATGGTATTCTCCCATTTGGACAGGGAAAAAATGGAGGGTAGAGGGTCAACACAGCAAAGTGCAGTGTTTTCAGCATCTCTTGCTTTGAGGAGATGCTTGAATTTTATGCTTCCAAGCATAAAATTGCTTAGAATAGGCAGTCCCTTGCTGGGAGAGAGAAGAGAAGCAAGTGAACAAAACTGCCTCCTCTGAATACAGTGAGAGTTTTGACACTGCTTTCAGTAAAACTGAAATCCACCTGAGCTGTCAAGCTAGTTTTGTGTGGACACTGTGGAAGTTGGAGTAGGCAGAGAGAATAAACATAACATTGACTGCCAGTTGACCAAGGTTTTGAATATACCCACTTGCTTCTAACAAAACTGGTCTTTTTTTCTGACTGTATTTGAGAGCAAGTGAATGTGCAGTTGATTTGGTTTCATTCACAGAACTGTACTGAGAAACAGAAGAACAGGCTGCATGAACTTTTTAATTTAAAAGCATCTGCTTGCTAATCCACTCATAATTTTTCCTTAGTGCCTGCTTGATACTTGAACTAGTGCAGGTAAGCAGAAGAGAGGAGAGGGTAAGACTGCCTCCAAAGACAGAGGACATCTGACTGAAAAACAATTTCCTTTTCTCAAGAGTTCTTGGAATTCCTTTCTTCCTTGGATCCCGCAAGAGCACTTTTTCCTGTCCCTAACATCACCACAAAAGTAGAAAACCATAGACACTATATTCTAGGCTTTGGGTGGTTTTGGGCTGAGGGGTTGCCCTTTGTTGCCAAGTGTTCTTTTCACTGATGTTTGCTTGCTTTTATTGAATTCATCTGGATAGGGTGGGAGGATGGTGTTGCAAAATAGCAGCAAATCAGTCACCCTAGTTTAACCTGCTGGAAGTCTGGTGGGTTTTGAGAAGCTATGAGTGAGTAACTTGGAAGCAGGGGTATTTTCAAGCTTCATGTTTGAGACACAGGTGGGTCCAGAGGCCTCTTGTGAAGACAGATGCCCAATGAAGTTTTGTGTTGTCACTGTGATTGTGACAGATGGCAGTTGTTGTCCAGGTACATTGATCAACCCAACGAGGCACTCAGCAATTCAAGAGGCTGAACCTCTTGAATTCCTAGCAGCAGCTAAACTTCAGTTGTCACGTATATTAATCCAGGAGCATGTCTGGCAACTGGTGGATTTTCTTCTAAAAGGTGAAGTGCAATGTTTCGGATCAAATGGAACAGGAGGAACACTGCTTGTGCAATTCTTCTAGAGGAACTCACTGGGCATATGGCTGCTGTATAAAAATTTGATTAGTGCTTTGTGTTGTTGACATGTTGTTCATATATCCTTAAGAAATCTGATCTGTGAATTGAGTAGTTCTTTGCAAGCTAATGAAATTAAAGCTCCAGTGAGCAAAGAGAATAAAAACCAGAGCCTGGAATAGAAGGATTTATTTGCTATGTTCCTTAGAATGGTTCCCAGCTATTTGTTTTCATCTTAGAATTTTTTTAAGTTTTGCTCTTCTATTCAGATTTTCCAGCCTCACTGTGCAGTTGTAGAACTCACTTCTGCTATGTGAAAACATGGTGCAAAGTACTTAGGGAAAAAGATTACCCCACTTATTTTTACTTATCTCGAATTCTTCAAAAGTTTTTAGAAGACTTCTTAAAATACCAACGATCCTCCCACAGTCATTAAAATTCTTTTGTTGCTGATTGCCTCTGGTCCAAGCAAATCCTCTTGAAGTTCAAATGTAATGGTGTTTGTGTCAGCAATTGTAGTGGTGGGGAACTGTGTATTAAAAGGAGTATCATTTGCCAATCAAGGAAAATGTGTTTTTCTATTTCATGTGTTTTCAGTGGCAGTATAAACATGAAAACTAATTAAAAAGATGGCCTTTGAATTTTAATTCCCTGTTGCTGTCATATATAGAGAGGCTAGGTAACCCATTGGTCAGAAAAAGCACAACTTTTTTATATAAGATTGAAAATATATTCTATATATGTTTGACACATTGGTCTTCTTGTCAGCACCCTTTTTTTCCTGAGTTTTCTGGCATCCCATGGCAGCTTCAGGCAGCTCAGGCTTCTGACTGAGGTACTAAAAGCTGAGCAGATAGAAGAGAGGGCAGACCAAAAAAAGGCTTTTTCAGTGATTCCTAAAATTAAACATATCTCTCTGTCCCTAGTGCACCAGTAACAGAGTTTTTTTAAAGAGTTGCCACAAGATTCACCATTGTTGTTTTTTAACTCTGCCACAGCTGAAACGGCATGTAAACAAGCAGGCAACAAAGGCTTGGAGTGGGCCACTTGGCAAAAAGGAAAAGGCAGGCCTGCTATCTTCATGGGGAAAATTAAGCCTGGGTAATTTGTATGTCAGAGAGGAAAGGACATGTCTTATGTCCAGTGTTTTAGTTCTCCTTCCTCTGCTGAGTAACTTCTCAATATCAACATAAATTTGTCTCAGTGTGGGATTGCACTGAAATGAAACTTTCCGGGTCACTCCATGGACTATATTTTGATCTGCACTGGTGTGGTGGGCAGGGGTTTAACCACGGCCAGTCTGGGTCCCAGGAGCAGTGTGTCAGGGGAAACTCAAGTGAGCTCTGCTTCTGAAACTGGTCTTGTAGCTTTTTCTGACCTTTGTGTTGCCCCAGGAGTGTGCTACCAGATACCATGCTTAACTACTGTAAAGCCATCTGGGGTTTGTGTTTGTGAGGCTGCTGCAGCCAGATCTGTCTGCAGTGGGTATCCACAGACAAAAAACATGCAGCTGGTTCTGTGAAAGGAATAGAAGTCCACCCTGAAGATTGCTCTTCCTAGGTAGCATTAAAAAGAACACCTCCAGATGGAGAGGCTTTGATGCAAAGCCCCTAGTCTGTCTTTCTGCCTGTATGAATCAAGGTGATGCAAAGCAGAGTGGGGAAAGCCATTTCTCTAGGGCATTGTCCCCACCCTGTGTGGAGGCGTGACCCCACCCCTGGTGTCCCTGTCATTATTCTGGGTACCTTCTGACTGTGAGGCTGGATGTAGCTGGCAGAGGTCAGTCTTAGCAAACTGGCTCTTTTTTTCCACTTGCTGCAGAGGTAAATACAGGCTTTTCCTTTTCTTGTCCTGTTAAGGGCTTTCCTGTTATGGCAAATGTACCTGTCACGTCCTTCCAAACCAGTTCTTGCTCTGAGGCATCAGTCTGTGCTATACCCTGATGTCTGCAAGGAGGGGATTTGCAACTGCAGTCTCATTTGTTCAGACAAATTGCTTGGGCTTTACTATTTGACTGGACAGGCCACTTCCAATAGAGAGTTAGCTTAAAAGGTACTGACACCCACACCTGTCCAGCCACAGCTCCTTAGGAAAATGTGCCCTTATCTTTCCTTCCATTTTTCTCTCTTAGAAGATTTTCTAAGAAGCTGTTCATCCAGCTCCTCTTTCTTAAATCTATCAAGAAGAAAAAAAGAGGTTGATATTTAAAGAAAACAAACAAAACACCCAAACCAAAACAAAAAAATTACAACAAAAACCTCACAAAACAAACTTAAACCACAAGAAAAACACAGAGTACAAGGATATTAAACTATGCTGCTGTCTTCTGCGGTACAGGGAAATGCAACACACTGATAGCTGCCAGCATTTTAACAAGAGCCTCCGCGAAATGTTCCTATTTGCCTGTGATAAAATTCTGATAACCAGAAGTGTATGTGGGAGACTCAGGACTCTGTTAATTTTTCTTGTTTAAATAATGCCGTGTTTGTAATTCAAAAGTATTGGGAGAGCCAATGAGCTTTGGCAAACAATTTTGTTACTAAGTGCACTTACTGTAAATGTTTAGAGGTTGTATCTAGTACAATAAAGTATATGGCATGTATAATATGGAGTGTGAAAGAAATACCCTTTTTCGGGAGAGCTGGTATTTTTGGATGTGGAGGGGAATTAATCAAAAACTCTGTCGAGGCACAGGCTTTTCTCTTTCAGAAGATAGCATAGAGCTAAAACACAGGGATAGCAAAGGGACAGGTTATTTCCAGTAAATCACTTAATCCTGATTGTGATTCTTATTATGCCCACCTTCCTTTCTGTGAAGTCCACATTTGCACCATTTAACCTCAGACCTCATCTTGTTGCTATAGAGAAAACATTTCCTGAACAGAAAAACAAACGTACTGCTTCTTGTCCCTCTTCCTATTCCTTCCTTTCTCCCTCTGCTCTCTTCCCAGTCCTTTTACCTTTTGCTCATCACCTTCCTTTCCTTTTTTTTTTTTTTTTTTCCACATGGACATGTTTCTCCTCCAATGTGTCCAATGTGTCTGCAGTTTTGATTTAATCATAGGTTAACTAAACCAAATCTGGTTAGCTTATGTATAGAAATGGATGTGTCCACACATAGATCTGCATAGCCATAGGAAGGAAGCAGAAGCGAAATAAAATTATTCTTTCAGTGCTGTTTGAGTATAGCTCTTTAAGACTCTATTTTTCTGCTAAATCTTATTTCACATTTTGAAGAAAAGAGGACTTATGTAAAGGATTCATTAGCCCCCTGCCTTTTGTTAGAGAAGCCAATCACTTACACACTGATGGAAGCCAGGTGTCTGCTTCAGCAAAATGACAGAAAAAGAAGCTGGTGTTCCTAATCACTCTAAGCATTATTAAGTACAAAAATAAAAAATGAGAAGAGTTCAAGTTTTTTCATCTCCCCAGATCCTGGTGATTCATGACTACTGCCTTGGTGCTGGGCTTTCCATGGCATGGCATGTGCGATGTAGAGCAGCTCCACAGAGCTTGATTGCTGGACATAATGAGCAGAAAGCCAAAACACACAATTGCAAAATAAATCACATCTCATGAAAATGCACTGCAATACCTCTGGGATTTTCTGCTTAAGCCCTGGATCACCA